ATATGCTCATTTTTAAATTATTTTGCGATATTGCTGTTGAACTGAATTTTATGGTTTAAGTGTAAAGAACATTATATTTGATAAAGAAAGGTAACACACAAAACGTTAAAAAAAACGCCCCTTTAGACGTAACGTAAAATCTGAAAGCTTTAATTTTTTAAGAAATTTTTACTTGTTAATTTGAGCAGTTAATTCCGTTGCGGTTTGAATGTTCTTATGTGCTGGTTCTTTTTTTAATCGAGTATTTTCCCCCTGTGGGTTTTTGCCTTTTTTCTGCATATATTACGGAAACGGAGTATAAAACGTTAAGTAAATTTATTTAAAGATGAGAGGGAGTCCAAAAGGGATCCATCTGAGATAAATTCAATATACATATATAAAAATCCCTCAAAAAGACTTTACATTTTTCCTTGAAAAGGGTAAAGTGAAAAAATTTTTCTTGTATGGTTCGTTTTAAAGTTGCTTATTTTTAATATTTTGTATTTCTTTTTGGCTCGATCCTAGAAGATTGGAAAAGCTGAGGTTGTGCAATTCTCTGATGTTTTTTAAGTGAAAATAGATCGATAGGTACATCGGCAAAGCCAATGCAGTGTGCAATTCTCTGATGTTTTTCTAAGTGAAAATAGATCGATGTGCACATGGGCAAAGCGAATGTGGTGCGCAATGCCGAGGTTGTGCATGATGCAGAGTTTGTGCAATTCTGGGATGTTTTTTGAAGTGAAAATAGATCGATGTGCACATGGGCAAAGTCAATGCAGTGCGCAATGCCGAAGTTGTGCACGATGCCAAGTTTGTGAAAATCTGGGATTTTTTTAAAGTGAAAATAGATCGATGTGCACATGGGCAAAGCCAATGTGGTGCGCAATGCTGAGTTTGTGCAATTCTGGGATTTTTTTTAAGTGAAAATAGATCGATGTGTACATGAGCAAAGCCAATGCAGTGCGCAATGCCGAGTTTGTGCAATTCTCTGATTTTTTAACTGAAAATAGATCAATGTGTACATGGGCAAGGCCAATGTAGCGCGCAATGCAGAGTTTGTGGAATTCTCTAATGTTTTCTAAGTAAAAATAGATCGACTTGCACATGGACAAAGCCAAGGCAATGCGAAGTTTGTGCAATTCTCTGATTTTTTTTTAGTGAAAATAGATGGATGTGTACATCGACACCAAATTTTTGCAATTCTTTGAAGTTTTTCGAGCGAATACAGATCGTTGTGCACATGAACAAAGCGAAGCTGTATGTTATACCGAGCTGCAATGTAACGTATTTTACATGCAGTGTTTAATGTGTCGTTTGTGTATTTTAAATTTGCATTGTTGTTTACTTTAGACATCTTTTTTTTATTGTACTTTTAATTGTTTGGTTTTGATATGTTGATAATGCTTTCCTAAAAATATGGATAATCCTACGATCTACTCAATAGTAGCAAAATTTGACCCTATAAATAACTTATACTTTTTTTTATTTTAATACGTAGTATTTGCTATCGCAATTGCACTTGATAATATGAGTTCATTGATAATATGTGTGTGAAGCATTGCTTAGTGTTCCAAATTTGTAGTGTTTATTTTCTCTTCATTGTAAGAAATTAGATTTTTTTATTTGTAGAATGTATAGAATTCTAGTAAGACTATAGAATATGATGTGATTTAAGAAACAGTGATATGAAAGCTGTGTATGATGTTGATCTGCAATAAAAATATTTATTATTTTTTTATTAATGTAAAGTTTAAAATTTTTAGAAAATAATGAAGATTGTCTACTTACTAGTACCTAAGGGATTGTGTCGTTACATAGCAACAAGGTAATTTGTAAAAATGATAAATTAAAATGTTCGATAATATGAATTTAAATCTGTTGGCAATTACTCTGGTAAAAGAAAGAAAAAAAAAAAGAGGGAAATAGTTTTTGATTCGAGCGTATTGGCAACAGAGAGAAACCAGACGAAAACCGTAGAACTAGCACCTTTTTTTTAGAACTTGAACTTGATTTTTGGTAGTTTCTGAATCAGCTGTAATTGGATATTGTTCTTTAAATGATTATCCTTTTAAATTAAAAATGTAAATAATATTATGTCAACATAAACCCCCTCAAAAAAATTAAAATCACGTGTACGATTTATTTTACGCTGAATCATTCACAAATGAAGTTAGTATTTTTCTAGTAGCTATCCAGAATATAATCCAGCATCTAAAAAACCATCAAAGGGGGGGGGATAAGTCTTGAAATTTATTAAGCTCTTATATTAATAGATTTAACGTAAATTGGAGTATATACTATTTTATTTAAAAGACACGCAATAATTTGCAACATTCTGATATAATTGCCGCAATAAATTTAATAATAAAAATCTTTTTTCATTTGTATAAATGCTAAAATCTTTGAAAATACTGAAGCTGTATGAAATACAAATATGAGAGACTGTGACGTTGTTTACCGTTTTAATAGCTGGTACAATTCACTTACTGCATTATAATAACTTAAAATATAAAGAATTTATTATACTTATTTCTATATCTATAGAGAATACATTGTGATGTCACAATTTTAGTCCCACCCATTTATGGATGTCACTTAGCTCCGCCTTAGCAACTTTGTTTACGCAACGTATTCTGAGATTTTACTGGCAATTTTCAAAAAATCGCCTCTAACGAAAATCGCCAAGCAGTGAGCTAAAGCACATTTTCACCGTAGATAATTCTTAGATAACATAATTTATACGACTACTTTCACCAACAATTGGTAGCAGAGCATGGTTTTTGGAATGGGTATTATTAAGGTTTAACAACATCACTAATTTTTCTAATAGATTAATTTGATTTATAATTGGTGAATATAAATTAGAAAATATGGCATAAAATATGACAAATATGACTCAAACAGAAAAAATAACTGATGACATTTACCCTTATATGGTCAAATAGTGTTGAAAGCAAATTAAGAAGTTTGAAAATATGGAGAAGTGTGATAGAAGCTGATGAACTGCCAAAGCCATATAAAAAAAGACTATGTTAATTTCAAAAGTGAAATAAAAACTTGGAAAATATGGGATGATACTAATGCAACAGCAAGAAATATAATGAATCAAACTATGACAGCTCCACAAACGTAAAAATATGCAAATGAAAAGAGCGCAAAGAAGTTATGGGAGGGGGGAAAATGAAATGGTGGCTAGAACAGAGGGAAAATCCTGTCACAATGAGGTCCCATTGTTAATTATTCCAGTTTCCGCCTACAAGGTCACTTCAACGGTTCTACGGATAAAGAAGTATTTCCCTGGGGTCAGAATGTGGACATCTTTGTTATGTACAAGAGGAGGAATTCCTCCTGCACCCCCCGGGATACAGCGGAGGTAACAACACAAAGAAAGTGAGAAAAATTTTGCCAACGAGAAAGGAAGGTGGTTTTCTGAGAAGAGCCAGGACCCTCTTGCTGGGGCTATGAGCATTTTGGCTCGCTAGAATTATAACTTCTTGTGTATGCTGTTGATCGTGCACATTCTTGTTTAACAAATTCTGAAATTACAGGACTGACTGTATCAAAGTCCCACCTTGTTGTGAACTGCACCTCTGGTACAACAAGGGCTCTGGGATTACAAGAGCTCTAGGTAGTGGATTAGGTCACTACACCAGACTATGTTAGCTATATGATGAAAAAATTTAAGTTCAGTTAACATAGCTAATTGCATTCTTCCTTACACAATTAGCTACATTCTTCTCTATTGATGATAAATGACACAATAACAAATTAAAGTGTCATACCATTAAACCATAATATTTATTCCACTTTCCAAAGTCTGATGGCTCTGTGGGGAAAATATGCATTCGATCATGATTTCATACCATTTAAGCTCCTTCCCTGTTACAATATGGGCTAGACACTTAAAAATTAGTTCATTTACATGTCTTAGCCAAACCTATAATCTTCTTGCTCCAGTTCATATAATCAAATCTTTTAATTAGTAGTCCAATTTCAAAGCTGGCATAATATAGAAAGCACTGAATGGTTAAAAAATATTGTTAAGGATTTTTGTATTTAGTTAGCTATTTTTAGTAGAATTATAAATAATTTTTTTTTATATACCTGTGCAATGCAGCACAAGATATATTTTAAGAGAAAGCTACGCTGGAAAAGTAAAAATACAAGAGCAAGCGCATTTAACATTTAATAATTAGATATTTCATAATTTATACTTAAACTGAATAAATGTAATTGACTACTGTGTTAGCTGTAACCATAATTTTATTCTTTTGCTTTCCAGAAATCTCAAGAAGCATAAATTACTAGAACTTTCTCATGCCTGATTAAAAAGCTTTAAAAAGGTGGAGAGAAATACATCAGTTCAGTTGTCTACTTAGTTGTTGTTGATTGTAGCGAATTCGTGGTGAGACTGGATTAGCTTTCTCTGCGCTTTGGATTGCATTCCGTTTTAGTAGTTTAAAATATAACTACTGTGTGATATTGCAATATTGTACAAATATCTTTGAGGAAAAATCCAGCATTTTGTTATATTTTTTGTGATAAGAATAAATTTTATTAAACTTTTATCGGACCTGTGCATTCAATTTATTACGAACCCATACACACACAACAATATACTAATCAAAACAACTGAGAATTTTAAGCCTGCATAGTTGGGTTGTGGGTTAGTTGGATATAGCAAAGCACTATCTTTATAGCCCTTGTATGCATTGCAGATTCAGAAGGATTCTAAGAGAAACTGGTTTATATTCATATTACACATCGAAAAGCCATGAAAACAACTATGACTTGGCAGTTGGTTCACCTAGGTTCGAGCTGCCAGTATTTAGAGATCATAAATACTCATCCATTGGTGAGGCTCAAAACTGCATCAAGATGTAATACATTTGATACGAGATGAATTCTACAGGAGAAATTTATTGATTTTTTAAACATATTCATAAAATATAAAATAATTTTAATCCTACATTGATTTTGAATTTACTACTAAATATGTTACACAAATTAATACAACTTACTTTAATAAGACCAGCTTGCAAATGTTCCAACTGACGTTTATTTTTCCAGGTATGCAAAGGAGCAACATTGGACACAACAACAAGAACAATACGTGGGCTTTTAATTTTCCATTCCCTGTGAAGTACACTGGCAACATATTCCATATTGGCATCATGAGAAGCTCGTAAAAACGGACGTTCCTAAAATTATATAGAGAGAAAATTCCAAAAGGATTTCAAGGATAAAAACCATTTACATGAACATTAGGCATTTTAAAAATTAGAAATGCATTTAGAATTAATTCTGAGCATGTTTATAATTCAATTATTATTTCTATGCGACTACACAAGCATGCTTTAATCACATTCGATGCAAATTACATGCATATATTTACACATATTTGCCTGTGTTAGAGATGGGAGTGACAAATGCATCATTGCACAACAGAAAATATTACAATATTACAGAAACAAATTTTAAAGTTACTGAAATTGAAATAACTTTACAATTTGTATCTGTAAAATATTGTAATATTTTTTCAGTGCTTTCTCAATTTCATGGTCTCTGGTTTTTATACACAGTGAAAAATAGTGAAAAACTGGCAACGGCATTCCTAACATACACCATTTAAATTTGCCAAAATTAAGTGCATGTATTATTTGTTTCGCCACTGTGGAAGTTTTTGACCACATTCAGAAAAGATAACACAAAGGAATTTAAGATAATTAACTAATTAATTAATTTTAAGATATGCATTTCAATTCTGTAAAATGATTACTTCTCAGTCCAGTGTTATTCATATTTATGATTTTTATTTGTCTGTTTTCTCTGAGCCATATTATTTCAACAAATCTTGTCATATTCATCTTTATTTATGATTCTTATGTTTATAAAAGTTTGGCTGGCATTTAAACACTAACAAAGATCACTTAGTTTATTTGGGACAGGAAAAGCTGTGAATAGGCTACATGTTAACATAATTTCTTTTTTCAAAAATATGTTAACAATTTTTGATTTACTGATGACCGAGGAAGAGCTGCAAATAAACCATCTTTTAATTTTTTTTTAAAATGTTGACAATTTTTGATTTAATAATGACTAAGGAAGATGCTACAACATCCTTTCAAGAAAATAGTTATTTTACGTGAATTAGCAATAATCATAATGCCATTATGATAAAGCTATGAAAATGGTAAAGTAGCATTTGTCTTAACAACATTCTTTCAAGAAAATAGTTATTTTACGTGACTTAGCAATAATCTTAATGCCATTATGATGAAGCTATGAAAATGGTAAAGTAGCATTTGTCTTATTGTCTCTACTTTATTATCTAGGATACTTACTTAAAATGCTATATCCATATTAACAATTTTTAACCTAAAAATCAAAACATGTTAATGGAAAAGGAGAAAAAAGTATAAGAATTGTTACCGACTATAAACAGCCTATTAATCAAATTTGATTGCAGGAAAAACCTTCTCAAGACAAGCAGTCACAGTTTCAGATGATTTTGATCTATGAAATAATCACAAAAAAAAAAAAAAAAAAAAAAAAAAAAAAAATCCTATGCACAAGCAATCTCTTTAAGAAGAAGCTCTTTCTGAACAAGATTAAAGTATAATTTTTATCAGCAATATTTTACTCAGAGATCCAAAATATTAAAACTGACAAAGTGTTGCAAATAGATTAGCCAATCAGAAGCAGGTATAAGGTCATTGGAAACCTTTTGCCAATATGAATAATAAAAGGTTTTTTGGGGGGAGGGGAGTCTTTTCTTTTTGTCTGTGTGTGCCTGATTTGAGCTTTTGATTGGATGACTCGAGACAGACACCAAATAGCATAAGCCGAATTTCTAAGAAAACTATGAGCAAGTCTTTCAACAAATTTTGCTTAAACTTGATAGCTGCTTTAGTGAGCATAACTATTGGCAACGTTCAAAAGTGTTATTTTATAATGTTCTCAGAAAGTGATTTTTGGAATTTGGTTGGTACAAAAAAATTCAGTTCTCTTCTGTTATCAGGACTGGATTGAGAAATGTATGTATGTGTGCACATGTGTGTATATACCGTATGTGCATATACACACACATACATACATATATACATGCACACCTGAACATATACATATAGCTCTATGTCAGTTACTTATGAAAAACTTAAATCTCTAAAGTTCCCCCAAAAGTTACATATTACTTTCTACTTGATTATCAAAAAATTAAAAAATATTTTCTAATTGTATTCAGATAATTCTGGAAAAACACAATTTTTATATATTAATTTTTAATGTTTCTAAACTGATGTGCAAAATATATCTTTAAAGAAATGACTAATTTTGAATATAGTAAAATCTTACATGATCTTCATAGCAAAAATTCTTCCAAAAACATAAAACACCTTCTGTAGCAAAAAATCTTCTTGTTACATCATCTCCAAATGTTTCAGAAACAGCAAAACTCTGTTGTCGCTTAACAGGTGGCTTTTCATCACTAAAATCTGCAGATGCATCACCACCAGCAGCAGCAGCAGTAGCGACATTATCCAGAGGGATACCATCTTCAGTTTTCTAAAAAAAATTTAATTAAAAATTTTCAATAAATTATAATATCTCTATAATTTTATAGGTATTTTCTGATTACCTGCACATCCCTAATAAGGTAATACAGCAAATCACCAAAACAAGCAACCCATGACATCACTAACATGTATTTATGTGGCAACCCAGGTATGCATGCACACAGCAGAAGACTGCTGATTACCTGATGATAATGTTTCATTACAGATATGTCTTGCATTTTAATTTAAATTGGTTTCTTTCTATGCAATTCTTAGTGTATCATAAATTTTTAAAAATGGACGTTGTCTTTCGCATTTTAGCTTCATGAAAAACTACTCGGCAGTGGTTGCCAAAATTTTGGGAAGTATTGCAGATAACTGGAAAGTAACAATTTATCTTATGAAGATATAACAAAAAATTAGTAAGTTGGCCTTTAGGAAAAATACTTTTTTTAAAAATGTAAATTTATTAAATTATTACATTATTTTAATCAGGCTAAAGAACATTTTCAGTATGTTTTTACAAAGCTTTACAATAAATTATTCATGGATTTGCTCTGATGCTGCAGTTAGATAAATAAGATAAGTCAGCATTATTGCATTATCCACCCAACTGTGACAAGAACTACATAGCAAATATCTATGTTGCTGAAGTAGACAATCCCGAATTTTATGAAAATTTATTTTATCTGGCAAAACACTAAATGCACATGATTTTGGAATTTAGAGGCTATGTTTGTAGTTTCTACTTGTGATTAAACGTGTGTTTTTCCTTCCTTAAACGAATCTTAACACAACAGGAGTGACTTTAACGAATCTGAACACATCTAACGAAAACGAAAGCGTTGCACTTTTTTCTTTTTTTACAAATACAGAGTTTTGCCTAGTAAGTAATAGTTGAGTGTAGAAATGCACATCCCATGTAGCTGTATTTTACAAATGATTCAATTGTCGAAGTTATCTTGGGGGAATTCATTAGTAGAAAATGTCTGGAAGGAAAGCAGAAAGACTGTTCTGAAGAGATTTTATAGCAGATAGCTAAACAGCATTACGGTAGTACATTTTAACATTAAGTAACCACTTGGTGTTAAAATGTAAATATAGTATCTTTACATTTTAACACCAAGTGCATCATTTTTTTTTATAAATGTATAACTTAAAATAAAACTAACAAAACTTACAATAAAACTAACTATTTGCTTATTTCACTTATTATAACACTTGTTTATTGCACTTTCAGAACACTTTTTTTAAGTTCTAGAATTGTAAAATTTTACACTTACAACTAAAAATTAAAAAAAAAAAAAAACTCTGGATAATAATTTTTTGCTTAATAAAAATGCATCCGAGTTTTTCACTTTCAGTTTAAATATGGAGCAGTTAGCTCAAAAATTTGTTAAAAACTGCAAAACTTATAATTTTTGATAAATCACAAAATTCTATTTTCATACTGTTAATTTCAACAATTTTTAAAATTTACTGACACCAAATAAAAATGAAATTGTCTCAATGATTAAAGTTTATGTGTATCTCTGGTATCTATCACAGAAGGTAATAATTCTAACGCAAGAAAAATCCAAAGGAAAACTTTTAAATAAAAAATTCAGATCTGCATTAAATAAATCAGAATTTATGCTACTTACAAGTTTGTTTCAATATTACTTGCATAAAACAAATTTAATGCCTAAAACAGCTATCTGCTTAAAGCAAATTTGATAAGAATAAATTTATTTTTATTCAACAGTTCTAAAATGAAATGGGTTACTGTTCTAAATCCAAAGTAAAAACCAACATAAATTTTATGGAGCAAGTTTTTTTTTTTTTTTTTTTTAATTTTATTTTTTTAATTACATCAAATAAAGTCATAAAATTTATACAAAGAAATAACTATAAAATTAAAAACTGAAAGCATTTACTACTGAATTTATTAAAAATAACTGTTGGACTTAGTATATTGCTATGAAATTTCTCAAAATTGAAACATTTTGCTTAACAAATTAATTTAACATATCTTTATTAAAAAAAACAGACTTAATAAAACTTACTTGCATAAAAAATGTAAAAAAATTTTTATAATATCATAATAAAATTCTCATACTGTTGAAAAATTAAACTTCCTGCAGGATGTTACATATTTTTTCATGAGAAAAAGCTGACATCTCTTAAGAATCATAATTAAAATGTAGAATAAAGCATAGAACAGTCTTTTGAGCAGCACTTGTAATGTTTACTTGCTGACATGCATTTGAAGAATTATTTTGGTCATTCTTTCACAAAATATTATTAGTTTTACATGAATAAAGTTGCCTTTAATTATATCCTTCTAACAACAAGCAAACAAGACAATCACATTTTTATAGCCCAAGAACAAATGTGTATTAAAGAAAAAGCAGAATTAAGCTTTTATTACATACCAACTTCTCAGAGCATTTATGTTTCACATATAAGAAACAGAAAAAATTCATCCTCCCTTCAGAATTCTGTGTAGCTAGGTTATTCAGATGTATTTATTAATATACAGTGGCTCCCAGAAGTGTTCGTACACTTATGATTTTCATTGAAATAGGGCTCTATCCATTAATTAAATAACTTTACGGAGAATAAAAAAGAAACTTTCTAATGAGATTTTAATAATAAAATCTATAATCTATTCGTAACAAAATATGAAATATTTTAAAAATATAGCAAATTTTTATTTTTAAGAAATTAATAATCAAAAAATGACAAACATTTCATGTCACAAAAAAGTCTTCGTACACTTCAAAAAAATCTTGGGCTAATCTTTGGAATATGGTAACAGGTAGTTTGGCGACATTTTGGTAAGGCGATAAAGGTTACTAGCTAGAACTTTAGCAATGTACATGGATAAAGTCAAGAGTGTGCCATTTTTGTGCAATTCTGGGATTTTTTTTTAAGTGAAAATATGTCAACGTGTACATGGATATCATGTATGTGCAATTCTTAAAAACGTGGCAAGCAGTTTGCGATTCTGCACTTTCTCCCAATTTCGCACCTAATCTTCATCATGATTAAGCACTTTTGTTCCATAAAAGTTCTAGCATAAGCGTAATTCGGCTAGCAGATTGTTGAAAAAAATGTTGAGTAAAAAAAAATTTCGTGAAAACAAAATAGCGTCCAAACGAAAACTAGCAGGTTGCTGTAGCAGGGTTGGTCGCCAAATTTTCACCAAGTTACTATAATCCAAAGATTAACCAAATCTTGACATATTAGTAAATATTTTCATTTTTTGTTAAATTAATATTTAGTAGGATATCCTTTAGCATCCACAACAGCTTTTAAGCGTCTGGGAATATATTTTGCTAGTTTTTTTTAGATTTCTGTATCAATGTTCATCCATTCTTCCATCATGATTGTTTTGAGTTTGCTTTTCGTTTTGATGTCGTGTTTTCATACTCTAACCTCCAGTTCTTTCCAAATATGTTCTATGGGGTTTAAATCTGGTGACTGAGGTTGTATTTTAAAAACCTGTGGACAATCATAGAGACACTAGAGGCGAACGTTGAGAGCCGTATGCTTAGAATCGTTATCATGATTAAAAATAAAGTTGTTTCCAATACCCAAATTCTAGGCTGATAATTTTAAATTGTCTCTTAAAATATGTAAATAAGGAGAATGATTCATTATGCCATCAATAAATACCAAATTACCTAGTCCTGATGCTGCCATGCACCCCCACACAAGAACACCTCCACCGCCATGCTTAACTGTTCCAAATAAGTTCTTAGAATGAAGTTCCTCATTTTTCCTTCTCCATACAGTTATTTGACCATCGGAACCAAAAATGTTAAATTTGCTTTCGTCAGCAAATAGGACATTATTCCAATACGTTTCGGGTATACTTATCATTGATTTTGCGAATGAAAGCCTAAGCTTTCTGTTTTTCTCACTAACAAAAATTTTTTTTTGGGCAGAACGCCCATGTAATCCAACTTACCTAGTCAAACTCGTCAAACAGTGAAGAAACTCGTCAAACAGTTTCAGGTGAAATTGAAGTAGAAAACTTCGCACTAAATTCTTCAGAAACTTTTACACCACTCTAACGTGGGTTTTTCACAGATTTTCTAATAATAAATCTCTCATCATGTTTAATTAACCTTCTTGGTCGACCTTTTCTTACCTTGTTTTCAATCCGATTTTCTTCTTTAAAGCGTTTCATCACATATTGCACTGTAGAATGGGATAAATTTAACTAATTTAGCGATATTTCGAATTAATTTACCACTACTATGGTGAAAAATAATCAATTTTTGAATGCTGTTTGCAATTTCTTTACGACTGTGACCCATTTTTCAATAATAAATAAAATATTATGAAGTAAACAATAAAAAATTAAAGCAAATGATTTTTTAAATGCCACCACAATGCAAAAATTTAAAAAAAGTTGCAAACGATAATTCTAATTTTGATTTTATCCAAAAATATTTCAGTGTACGAAGACTTTTGGGATATAAAATGTTTGTCATTTTTGATTATTTTCTTTAAAATAAAGTTTCGCTATTTTTAAAAAATATTTCATGTAATTTTGGTACGAATAGATTATAGATACTTATTATTAAAATCTCATTCATAAAGTTTACTTTTAATTAATGGATAGAGCCCTATTTCAATGAAATTCATAAGTGTAGGAACACTTTTGGGAGCCACTGTATGAATACAACAATTATGACTTCAGCAAAATATTCATTCGAAATGACTTTTATTCTGTGGAAAACTTAAAAGATATCTTCTGAGTTTTAGGCTCACACAAGCATTTTTACCTTCTAAGGAAAACCTGAAACTTCCTCAAACCATCACTTCACAGAACAAAATACAAAAAATTAGACTAAAGAAAACGTAAAAATAATTTTAGTATTAAATGGTAGACAGCAACTTGTGAACATAACAGAAAACATACCTGACAAACATTGAATGAACAAAATAAAAATATTTATTAAAATAAGCAGCTATAAAAAATTGTTTTAAATTACACTGTTTTTTCATAGATAACATAAAACTTTAGCACAAAAATGCATAACTTCTCCTAAAACAATACAAATAAAATATAACTTTATGTCAAATATCAAACAGATTATATACTTCTACAACAGTTATGTACATATAATAAAATAAAACTTTAGAAAGAAATTACAAATAATATTTACGTCAACTTCATCAGATGAACGAAGCAGACGAAAACGTTCGAAAAACCCCCAGTTTTTATCCTCTCTTTGATTTGTGGGTCGAAATCTACGCATTTTATTAATTATTTAAAATTTTTCCTACACAAAATTTAAAACAATTTATGAATTGAGCATGCGGAACGCCTCCATACAAAAAACAAAAAAAAAAAAAAAGAGCAAAACAGGAAGAGAATAAAAATTTTCATTCATATTTTAACTGCAAACATCTTTCAACTGTCGAATCGAAACACCGTAAACTTTTCAACATTACAATTGTCAAATCGTAAGAACGTCTGAGAACTACGGTATGGAAAGTTCCGCGTACAAACTAACCGCGTGGTTTCTCACTGAACGGAAATAACTTTCGGTGTGCGTTTGTAAACTGTCCAATGAAATTGCAGCCTTCATAAACATGAATGTACAGGTTTTTTTAAACCAGTTTCAACAATCCGCGATTCCAGCGCTCTGATACGCCATCTAGTGGCTAAAAGGTGGAAACATTAAAGCTCGGTATTTACGTTTGACAATGCTACCTAGTTTGTGAAGCGTGTTGTGATCGAAAAGTAATTAAACGTTTTATTTTTTTATTGTTGTGGGCATATGTATAACTTAAAAAGAAGTACAGACTGCATGTTTTGTTGTGTACATCAGTGTAAATCACGAGCTTGCAAGGAACCTGAGTTATGCTTCCTATCGCATTCTTGGTTCGAAAAATATCGAACGAGATAGCAAAACGAAGAGGGTGGATTTGCGTATTTCGAATTGTAAAGAAAGTGGGACATTATATGAAAGTGCGTTCTAAGCATTTAAAAATAATAAAAAAAAAATGATTACATTTTTTCTCGTAAGAAAAGTTTTTTTTTTAATATATGCAGAATTTCTTTCTCGTGTATCATACATATAAACGTGTATGTGTATTCTTCGAAAGTAAACACGCATATTTGTGTATTGAAGTATAAATCATTATAGCTCATTAATCTCTTAAATATTATTAATACATATACATATACAATTATGCTTTCATGCATATTTTACCTGCAGAAATTTAAATTGTGTTTCAGTTTATGTTAGCAATGATTTAAATGAAAATTTATAGAATGGCACATATAAAAGTAAAAGTTAATTATTTTAACATTAATGATGAACTTTGAATTTCATATTCTAGTAATGTTGAAATTTCTGTGTGTGAGTCATTTCCTGTTAAACTATTTAGAACTGTTTACACTGGTTCAGGATAGTTAGCATAAAAAATTTCAAGTTTAGAAAATACCTATGATGTTCCGGTACGAGTAATAGTATAAAACGTATTACAGATATCAGATCTTTTCCACTATAGAATAGCATGCACCAAACCGTTTCTTATAGAATGATATACATACCATTGTTACTCGCTGAGCAAAGTTAAATGTTTTTCTTATCTTTTATAGCAGTGTTCGTTTTGAAATAAATATTAGTAATAAAAAGTTTTTAAAGTAGTTTAAAAAAATTTATCCATGGTGAAAATTAGCTAATGATGAAAGTATTTTTTCTCACTTGAAGTATCAAATGGGCACATGTATCTTTTTCGAGAAAATCTGTTGTTCTGTAACGTAAAACACCCGAGTATTTGTTCAGTGATAAATATTGATGGGGAAGAGACTTTTAAGTAATTTCATTTCTCAGCCATTATTCAAAATATGATGGCATATAACTAAATAACTTTGGAGTAAATTAAACAGCGTGCACAGACATGTGTATACAGATATACAGGTTAGCAAATAAAAGCAAGGACAGTGGATTTGGATCAGTTCAGTAATTTATTAGATTGTTTATGTATTCCTGTTTTATTTATAACAAGCTTTTCTTTAGTAGAGTAAGAATGTGTAGAACATTTAGTAGAATAAGAATAATACATGAATACACAGCCTTTTAGTTGCAAGAAATAAGATTTTGCATAGTTATTTAAAGATGCAACCATATTTATTATTCTCAAATATATTCTATCTTAGTTGTATTCTATTTCTGGGGCAAATATGCATTAATTCTCTTACCTATTATTATGTCATTATAAAAATTTGATTTTATCGTGTTTATATGTTAACTAGAATTGGAATGTCGATTCTATGCAGTGTTGACCTGTAACTATAAGCCTGAAAAATATATGCATATTGGATGCCTCATCATGCTAAGAAGATTTAGCTTTTTTTTTTTTTTTTTTTTTTTTTTTGGCATATCCATTGATTTGCATAACAATAACTAGAAATTATAGTAATATGAATACCAATTTTACAGTATATTTAATTGATCATTTGCTATTTTTTGATTTTTCGGACAATGTAATTTATACTAAAGAAAATTAAGCAGATTTTTGGGAAATATCTGAAAACAATGGTGAATAATGAATATTTGTCATTATATTTGAGGAAAAAAATGAAATTTCAAATTCCAAATGGTAAAAATCTTTAGTAACAAAATCTTGAATATTTAAATGTTGGCAAATCAATCATTAATTAGTGTAAAAAATCTTCTGGATGCATATTCGTATCGTGCAAAAATGAACACTGGTAGGTCCAACTTTCGATCCCGGCGAACGGGCTGACTCCATGGGTGTTTTCTTGATTTTACACATGTGTATCGTTTAAGCACTATCTTCTGTATGCATACGTGAATAAAGCGCTAAATCTGGTAGTTCGGTCCATTTTCGAATCCCGGCAAGCGGGCTGACTGCATAGGTGTTTTCGTGATTTTCCGCATGTGTAACATGTTGGCAGTATCTTGTGAATGCATAACGTCAATAAAGCGGGTGCAGCGCGGGTAAAATCGCTGAATACTGGTAGTTCGGTCCAACTTTCTAATCCCAGCGTACTGTCCAGAAATTGTGGATGCGTATGTGAATACAGCGGGCGCAGCCCAGGAAAAAAAATCGCTGAACACTGGTAGTTTGCTTCAAATTTCAAATCCCGTCGAATGAAAGCGGGCTTCACTGGTAGTTCGGTCCAACTTTCGAATAAAGGCCCAAGCGGGCTTGAAAGCAGGCTTGCCCGGCTTCAGGCCGCTCAAATGGTGGGCTTACCCGCTAGCAATCATGGGAGCTAGCGTATATCTTGTGATTGCATACGTAAATCAAGTGAGCTAAAGTGAATAAAGCGGGCGCTCCACGAAAGCATCCCTTCCCTCATGTTATGTCATTTATATATCACTAGCGGGCTAGCTACATCCCTGAAAGTAAGCATTCATTCAAGTATTTAACAAATAGATTTGATCATATTTTATGCATCATGCAGACTATATTTCCAGGTCTTTCATTTAAGTGCAATTTATTTCCAATGTATGAACATGAATACTGTACAAGTTTAGTCACTTATTCGTAATTTAATTCAGGTTTTATATAAAAGTTAAAATTTACCAGGCAATTGCTTAAAAAAATAGTTTTAATAGATGTTGCTGTAATTTAACACTTTTGATTTTAATGTTTTCAGAAATTTGCTAAATCAAGTTTATCTTCGTGTGACCTTGCATCAAAGGCACCGATAATAAATTTGTTTTGGCATTTAGTGCTAAAATTTTTAAAGAAAAACTTATTATTGATGTAAAAGAAGGAACAAATTATATTTATCTTGGTAATATGTCTTATGATATGCTTATTTACGGTGTCATGATATTGCAGTAACTTAACAGGCATTTCATATAACTTGTTTCTTAAGTTGCATAACCTGTTTTCATAACATTTTGTTATCAAATATATATATAAGGTAAATTTATAATGAAATATTCTTCATTTCACAGCAGTGTTATTTACCGTGATAAAACGTGTGTTCAAATTTATTATACGGTTATGATCATTATTCATTATAGAGCTTTATATATTTGTTATATACATTTAATTTATATCATTATGTTTTACATGATTTTGCTTTTAGAATATATCACAATATATATTTCGAGTTGCTAATAGAACTACAGTGGTTCCCAAAGTGTTCGTAAACTTATGATTTTCATTGAAATAGGGCTCTATCCATTAATTAAAAGTAAACTTTCTGAATGAGACTTTAATAATAAGATCTATAATCTATTTGTAACAAAATTATATAAAATATTTTTTAAATGTAGTGAAACTTTATTTTTAAGAAATTAATAATCAAAAAATGACAAACATTTTATCTAAAAAAAAATGAAGATCTTCATTCTAAGAACTTAGTTGGAGGCTATATGCCTTAAGGGAGGGATGCCTTTGTGGAGGACTTTATAAGGGAAACTCGCTCGTATACAAGTTACACATGGGGAAAACCACGAAAACCCCCATGCAGCCAGCCTGTTCGCAGGATTCGAACCTCGGACCGAACTACCAGTGTTCAGAGGCGCTGGTGGTCTTCGCGGGCGGTAATTATGTGAATTAGGATGCTATCATACCACTCACCCGATGGCAAAAATATAGAAAAGGCAAAGTCAAAGGTTAAATTCATTAATTCTAATCAGAATGCACTAGCAAAGTAAAGCACTGTGGTTTTACATAATTTCTGATTAAGCTATTGAAATCGTACAAACTGAAATAATTCTTGCATTTAAACTTGTATTCCAAATTAAGATTTAACTTGAAATTAATGTAGATAATTACTGAGAGAATTGAATTTTTGTAGTGTTCTTTACGTGAAATGAGATCACTTGGGGTCATGTGATGTGAACTGGCAAATCAGGATGTTTTACCATGAAAGCATAGTAAATTCTTAAATTAATGTCTTTTTGCAAATTTATTGGCTTTTTTATAAAATTTTAAATGACATTTAAATGTTTATACCTTTAAAATAAAAAATTCTTAGAACTAACATTTGTCTATATTTTTTATGTGTATACTGTGTGTTGTCGCTAATAAAGTCTGCTTGGCGAGATTTGCGCTGGCGAAACGGAATATTACCAAAATTTGCATTCTATGAAATTGTACTTTTTAAATGATAAAATTTTAAAATCTACAATCTGAATATTAGAATATGGTTGGAAAATTACCATAAAATTTCTTGTTTCTACCAAAACGCTTTTAATATTCTGCGATGGAATGGGATAGTTCTTATGAAAATTATATTATGGTACTGGAAATGGCTTTTTGTTTTGCTTAAGAATTATAACCAGATAGTGAAGCTCTTACAAAAAATTTTGGTTGATCTTTACAATATGGTAACTGGTAGTTTGGCGACATTTTGGAGGCGATAAAGGTTATTACCTGGCACTTTGGTAATAATGTGAGCAGTACTCAGTTCCGATTACGCATTATTTTGTGTGAGGGAAATGAGAGATCATGGGATATGTCATGTGATATTAATGGACGAATTACGGTTCTTTAATCGGAAAAGGGGGGA